TGCAGCATTCACAACTTCTGGAGGCAAGCTGTTCCACTGATTAATTGTTCTAACTGTCAAGAAATTTCTTCTCAGTTCTAAGTTGCTTCTCTCCTTGACTACGGTAGTTTCCACCCACTGCCTCTTGTTCTACTCTCAGGTGCCTTGGAGAATAGTTTGACTCCCTCTTCTTTGTGGCAGCCCCTGAGATATTGGAACACTGCTATCATGTCTCCCCTAGACCTTCTTTCTATTAAACTAGACATACCCAGTTCCTGCAACCATTCTTCATATGTTTTAGTCTCCAGTCCCCTAATCATCTTCTCTGCACTCTTTCTAGAGTCTCCACATCATTTCTACATCTTTTCTACATTCTACAATGTTTTACATGAACAGATCTTTTCATTCTATTTTAGTACTGTGCTTAATCTCTCTGGCAAGTATGTGCAGCATTGGAGTCTTCTGTTCTTCCAAAGAGAATTCTTACAGTAATTGAGGAATTGATAAGCAGAATGTAATATTCTGAATAAATCCACAAAAGGATGTGAAGGGAATGACAACATTTGCAAATAAATACAACACTGGTATGTCAGAAGAATGGAAAGAAGCTATGTCAGATTTCTCCTCCCGAGAACAAAAGTCAAGGAAACAGTTGGTCCATTAATAGGAGAAAATGGCAAGAAGGTGCTGAGCAACAGCTAGAAAGCAGAACTGCTTAACTCATTTTTGCACTTGTCTTTACACCAAAAGAAAAAATTGTCCACCCTATCAAAAATAATAATACTGTAAAAAAATTAGGCATGCCAATCAGAATAAGAAAATGGTAAGAGAACACCTATCCATACTACACGACTTTAAATCACCAGGAACAGATGGATCTTAAGGTTCTGAAGGAACTGGCAGAGATGATCTCAAAACCACTGAACCATATCTTTCGAAGATTCTGGAGCATCAGGGAACCACCAGAGCACTGGAAAACGGCTGATATAGTTCCCATCTTCAATAGTGGGAGGGGAATGGGTCCAAGAAACTACAGACCTATCAACCTGACATCAAAACTGGAAAGATTCTGGAAGAAGAAAGATGGGAGAAGCCCTGACAATCCTCTTGATTGAATTTATTAACAATTCATTAAAAGTATAATTTGAAGCTATGCATCTCATATAGTCCCATATCTGTAAAAATAGATCCACACTTTATTTGTCGTTTCGGTGAGGTCCCACTCGCCATCCTCAGGCTGGACCAGCATACCTACCCCCATGAAAATGTGTGTGTGTGTGTGTGTGTGTGTGTGTGTGTGTGTATGTATATATATATATGTTATATTTATGCTGATAAATAAATAAAGGGAGACTAGTATAGATCTATTTGAAGCTATTTTGCTCTCATCAGCTAGCCACCCCCTTGTTGGGAATCGAACCTGTGCTCTATTGCCTTTTAGGCAGATGTGTTAACC